CTTCATTCGTATTTAGTTGAGTGATCTCGAATTGCTACTTGCTATTCTAGTTTTTCAAAAGGAGATTTAACTTCAATTGAACGCTTGTAGACGTTGAAATTTTTGAACATGTCTGCAATTAAAAATTATCTATGAAATGTTACGTGTAGATATATCGCCTATATATGGATATTGTTAGTATCCTTTTTTTTCATTAATGAACACTCTTTATTCGCCAATCAAACATTACTTCATTCTGAATCATGGTATATTTAATATTGAAAATATATGTACCACAAACTCTTTGAACCACCTTGAGATAAGAGCAGAAGTGATACAAGTGAAGGTTGTGTTGAAGTAGACTATAGAAATGTTGATAGTTTTCAATGTTAAACAGTTGACAAGGTAATGTCTTGTTTGCCCATGTTCAGAAAAACCAAGACAACAAAGATTCGATTCTAAGGAGTGAATATAGAATAAACATTTTCTTCTCACTTTTTTTTTCATAGTGAATCCTAACTCATATATCAAAATAGATAATTGTCTTGATAAAAAACGAAATGAGTTCAAGACTATTCTAAAGATGTTGATTTTTGGGTGAGGATATTTGAAACAATAACGATTAATAGATCTAAGAAATGTAATCTCATCAAACTATGCTCTATTTTACATAAATTACCATATTGTAATGATTTTACTTTGATAAGACTTATGAAAATTTTCTACAAACAGTTTGTGATCAAATAGTTGTTCATAATTAAGGATTAAGTCAAAACTCGTGAGTGTTACAAAATAAGCGTAGTCATATCTCAACAAATCTTGAGAATATGATCAAAGCTGAGAATACTACAAAATGTTTTTATAAAGTAACAACGTTCCAGAGTGTTATCATATACTTATATACGTCATGGGTGTGGGTGGGTGGGTGCAGGTGGCATTTCTGCTAACAACACTCACACCCACACCCTTTTCGACGATCTTGTTTTCGGCGAAGAGCATTACATTCTGTTTGAAGTCAAAGTAAATGAAAATAAGGCCAAAGCAAATGATACTAATTCGGCAATCATGCTTGGTCTATCGCAAAAATTAAAGCACATAAGCTTTGAATCTGTCTTCCAGTCATCATATAATACAAATTATGACCGTGAAAGACAAAAAACTAGAGCATATGTATTAAGTACAGTCTCTTTATTCATGTTTTGCTTTTCTTGTTTGAAACACTGCAATGTCAATGATTCAACGAAAAGTGTCTCTACCATACACTGGAAAGAAAATGGTATGAATACTAAACCAATGAGGGTTTCGTAGGGATCTACGGTACCTCTAAAAAAAAGATTTCTAGACCGCTGAAAATCATTTTGAAGGTGACTTAGGTTCATACAAAACTTTTTTATAGGTTTCGATTTTTGAAACAAAATGGTTCGGTACGGCACCTTTTTTTCCAGTGTACATGGCAATGTTTCAAAAACAACATGGATGAAGACACGTACTCACTACATACGTGGTCTAGTTTCTTTCACTCATACTTTTTATTGTGTTTGATGATAATCTGATGGTGGATCAAAAGAGTAGATGTTTTCATGTTCATGATAAAATGAGTATGATTGGCAAATCGGTAAATTTTGCTCTAAATGGAACATCGCTTGATCGATCCAGTTTAAGTTTCTTGTTGTATTTTTTTCTATCGTTGCATTACTTAAACCAAAGATTCCTCGCCGGACAATGTTTTAGCTTTAATTTGTTTCATCAGTCAATAGAAGGAAGTGAATGCATGTACTGAACCATAGGCTAAAATATTTACATACATAGCCATATAGTCAACATCTTTGAAAAGTCCTAAATTTTTATTCTAGCGTCAAGATTTCTATATAGACATAGCTTTTGATGCCAAATGTACTTTTCAGATTGACGTAATTTCCAATGGCAACGAAAGCAATACCTGGTGCTACGTCTGTGTCACGACGTCGGTTAGCGCTTGTAATTGGCATTGATGATTATGAAAACCACCCGAAATTAAAAAACGCAAAGAATGATGCGGAAAAGCTGTCATCTCTCTTGCAACGTATTGGTTTTATTATTGATACATCATTATTCGTCAAAACATATGCTGAGATAAAACGTAAGATTCTCGATTTTGAATTTTCAATAGAGCCGAATGATGTGGTCCTATTTTATTTTTCTGGGCATGGGGTACAATGGGAAGTATGTATTAAGATTTTTATCATTAAGCTATTTCGCTTCTTCAATGAGCGTTATCTTTGTTACTTCTAGGATCAGAATTATTTAATGCCAGAAGACTTTCCTCAATTTCCTGAAACAAATGAAGGAGATTTAGAAGAGATAGCAGGCATTTTAGAAAAAGGAGTTATAAAAAAAGGGATGGCTGACATGTTAAAAGCAGACATTTTAAAAAAGAAGATAGCTGGCAGTTTAGAAATGAAGGCCATAAAGGGTGTGGGTGTGGATGTGGGTGTGAATTTATTTCTTATTTTTAAAACCCACACCCATACCACACACTCGCACCCACCACACACTCACACTCACACCCACACCCACACCCTTTTATTACTATAAAAATATAGCCCATCGTCGGTAGTATTTATGATAAAAAAATCTCAATGATATCTTTTGTTCTTCTCGAAATAATAGAGATTTACTGGAAAGTATTGCACTATAAAGTACTCCAAATGGGATCCACCCTATCATACTTGTATCGTCTATATCTCCAAAATGGCTCATCCGTTTGAGCTGAAATTTTGAGTTTCTTTCTAAGACTCTTAGACCTACCTAATGTAAAAATATCAGCCAAATCGGTGAGTTCGATTGAGCAAGGGTCTGCTTGAATTGGTCGTGGCTTACGTGCAATGCCTCTTAAACAGTCATGAATGATTCGTTCTATTGTACCACGAGAGAAAGAAGTCTCAGCTATGATATCATTATAGGTTGAATGTGGAGCATCTTCGATAACTTGTCGAACCTGTTCGATATTTTCATCTGTAAATACCAAAATCGGACGACCGCATCGAAATTCATCATTAACATCCGCTCTCTCTTCATGAAAACGTTTTACCCATTTTGCAACAGGTGAATAGGCTGGAGCATCAGGTTCCAATACTGTTGTAAGTTCTTCGCAAATTGTTTTTGCATCTATTTCCAGAATAGTTCGAATTTTAATATAATATCGATTAAATTCATCAGTCATTTTTGTAATTTTTTTAAAAATTTCAAATCAGATTTTGTCACAGGTTCAGGATGAGTTTGATATTTAATACAAAGCACTATTCGGAAATGCTGGTTTATTCACATGAAAAAACTAAGTGAATCGAATGAATTAACTCAATGAACGAACTCGAACTCTATATATACTGTCAAATGTAATATTTAAGTATATGACGTCAGAAAATATACGAGAGAGCGGAAGGAAAACGTGCGAAATTCAGAAATATATCCGAACCCTGAACGAGGAATGGTCACATATGTACTGTATTATACAGTTTATCTAAAAGACTGTTAGAATTATAGACGAGACGTTTTATTATGTATTTATGCAATAAATCTTTCGATATTAAGTATTTTATAAAAATCCAAACATCGTTCTACGAAGTCTTGGTCAACTCTATGTAAAATTTTAATTTCGACTGAATTTTAATTTCGACCACACCACATATATGGAAAATACGTCTAACAACTTTTCTTGTGGTACATCATATGTATGTGCCATAACAGCTGTATGGCGAAAAACTCTTTGAATTAAATTCTAACAAAAGGTGAACCTTCATCTTCGAATCATCTTGAATCACAGCCAAAAGTCAAACTTTCTGTTCGCTTTTTCACTGCAGTACATTCTGTTCCTCGTTTCATTTTTCAGGTGTCCTGCTCCGTTTCGGCTAGGTCTCTCTGTTTCTTGATATCAAAAGGTTGAAGTATCATCTGCATTGACAATTAAAGGCAAATTAAATATTTACTCATTGTTATCAAATTGATGTAAAAGGATCATCCCTAATTGTAGCTCTCAATACAAGACACAGATTTGTAGTATTAGCTAGTTCGTGCAGACGGCACATGATGCGAGTAGATTCACTAACTCGTTCGATTTCATTGAACCACTTGAGAGATTCATTTCTCATTTTATCGATATTATTGATCGCGAATTAGACGATAGATGACAATGTTTCTCTGTTTTATATTTATTATGCCCAAATTCAAAAACAGTGAGTAATCAAAAAAAAGATAGGTCAGTCAATGTTTTCTACGATGGATTTCACAACATTGATAGTCTATTGTTTCGGCGTTTCACAACGTGGACCGATAAATTGTGGAGGGCAGAAGCAGAAAAAGGTATTGCCAGTGTTATAGCATGAACCACCATTTCCACAAGAATTTGGATTACACCTGCCAGCTAGAATTTTTTTAAAGAATATATGTATAAGCAATTAGTCATATATATCTATATATAGTTTGAGGATGCAGGTGTTCGTGAGGTTATAGGCATGGGCGTAAATGTGAATGTGTGTGGATGTGGGTCGAGATGGATGTGAGAATGCGAGCAAAAGTGAGGACGTGCGTCTAGATCTTCTCTTCATGGACCTCGCACGCTTACCCTTGTCTTCACCTTCACTTGCATTATCGGCCTATGTTGACCCACATTCACACATCCTATTTGAGCTCTATCAGAACATAAGTCGAAGTTGAAGCTTAGACAACAAAAAGTCAAGGGGCTGATTGAAAGTATTATACGTTCCCGTTTTTTCTACAGTCAACGTACGGATAGACCATTATCCTATAGGTGTACATCTTACGGCACTAGCTGTAATAAGATATTTTTCGATTTCATGAACAATGTAGGTATTAATACATTCAAGTCTTTCATCTGCACGCAAAGGATTGTGAAATAATATAAGACGAGACATTTATGAGAAAGTTTTCTTTTCTCGCATTAAATCATATTCTCAAATATCAACATCTATAGAGGAAACTACTTCTCATAACTGATTTTGGACTCAATAAGTCTTCACTAAACTTACGAAGAAGGTCATTTTGTTAATTTTCTCTTTGCATGTATTAGATATATATGAAAGCATATAACAATATCTTACGCGGATTTGTCGGTGGCGATGCAGTCACTGGTCTCGCTGTACCAGCAGATGAAGTCGTTGGTTGTGGTGGCGCTGGAGTCTGTCTTGAAGCTGGAAAAAAAATGTTAGTTTTTCAGATATATCATGCAATATTTTGTTGCTTTCGCGTTGAAAGAACTTTTGAAAGGATTCCAGAGCTCTTTCATGGA